GAGGTCTGTCCCGACGGGTTGAGGCCAACCTACTAATGAGGCTAGTCTACTAACCCGGGCATCTCATTTGACTGGAGGCAAGGTGCTCACGTTTGCGCCCGGTCCCAGGGGCACGACATCAACAGCAGTGGGGCGCGATTATTTAGCGTGCGGCGGGCATTCACTTTTGGCTGATCATGGGTTCCAAGTAGCTCTAACGCCCACTACAAATTAACCACCTCGGTCAAAGTCGCTAGTCACTTGACAGTACTGGCTGATATTAGGCCTTGTAAATGTCATATTCCTGTTTTGGTAATGTCAAAGGCGGAATTCATGCAAGTAACTTACAGACATTTCTGAGCTAATAGCGTCTGAATGCCAGCAAACTGATCGCTTACAAGATCATCCGTTTGAATCGCGGCAGCAAAATCTGTAGGCGATTTACTGTTTTCAAATGAATGAAAATGTTCGCGTTTCAGGTATTTGCATGGATAAGGAAGACGGATTGTCAAGCCCCGGATCACTTTGTTTATTATCCTGAACTTTCGGAATCTTACAGGAGTCCATCCTCAGAAATAAGAAACAGCAACAAAAAGTGAACTAGTTATAGTGTATGTACACCAATCAGCTGTCAGAGGTCATCAGGTCGTGAGAGGTAAGAAACGGTGGTGAAAAGGCGGGAAGGGGGTGAGGGGTAATTAAAGAGGTATACTTTAATTAAACGTCAGTGATTTCAACGTTCATCAGAGCATCAGAAATGAAAATGGAGCAATTATAGAGGATGTGGGCCCAAGTAACTGTGACAGACGTCTGAACTTGACTGTACGTGATTGCGCAAGGCTTTGTACGCCGGCGCCAATTCGATACATCGGTTGATTGAATTCTCGTCCATGAACCAGGCTTCAATCCATTCTCTGTTTGTCTTGTTGTGAGCACACGGTTACAGCCGATTTTGTAGGCGATTACTTACGGCCTTCTCATAGACTCCTTTTCTCACGCAATCTGTGGTTTCGTCAGGGATTGGCGCGCTTAATCAACTAAATATCTCCTACATGTGCTATTTGTGTTGTTCCCACAAGCTCGATTCCGGGCCACATACCCGAATGGGTGACTCACTACAAGTTAAGGGGGGTGGGGGGCATGTAGTCCAGGAATATTTAACAACTTCATATTTACTCTCGATCTGCCAAATACACGATAACTGATAGAAGCGGACCTATCGCAGGGAGTTAAGTAAGTTAAACCCTAGTAACTGCGATCTTCAGACCATGATTACTTAGTGAGGAAGAAGTCAGTGAGGGCCAGAATATTAGGAATAGTATATTGTGTACACAGAGGAACGGAGAATAGACTGCAAGAGATTTGACTTGGCTAGCATACAACCGACCAGGAGAGCCAGTCGAGCCCAAGTGCTGGTTTGAGAGCAGTCAGGCCAGTAGACAGAGAGATAGAACGTTCATTGGCTGGGTCGGCCTGTGATTGGTTGGACAGCGTGTGGGTAAACATAAACGTGGGCAGTGTGTCTCGCGCGCGAGTAAGTCTGGCGGCCGCCACGACCTTGAGGTCTAGACGGATTGAGGTCACGACAGGAAGACCAGGCATCGGGCAGGCAACGACAACCACAGACCACCACGTTGCAAATTGCATTTCAGAAGAAGATAGGATCGCTGGACGCAAAAGTAGAAGTCACTTAGCGTAAGCAAGCGCGTGTACAGCCATGTCCATTGGACCAATCAGATACTGTCCTGGTGCGAGTATCTACATGATTGGCTTCTGACTGAACGGCTGAATTTTCAGGGTCTTAG